AAAAACCCCCCCCCCCCCCCCCCAAAAAAAAAAAATAAAAATAACTAAGTAGAAAACAGAAATATTATTGATTTCTTACCTGATAATCTAATGCTGATGTAAATGTTCCACCAAACCGGACCCTAAAATGATGCACTTTGAAATGATTTTTTTGTTGAAGGTGTATTTTGTAATGATCAGTCACTGTAGATACATGATTGGGTTCATGTATTCTGAATTATGAGAACTTGTCGTTAGGGAAAAATCATAAATTTCCCAAGTTGGCAAATTAAATTTTTAGTTCAAAAATACTTATGATATGTAAAGATCAGAGAATTAGTGGTAGAACATAGAATTAGGAGAATAACAGAGATAAAATATGATAAGAATAAAGATGACTGCTACGTCTCGATATGTTTGTCTTATCTGCTCTTCGAATGTAGGCGCCTGCGTTGAGCTCTATACTCCCACACCTTCATTTTCTAAAGTTTTGATACTTTGAATTTTTTAGAAGCTTATGTGGCTTTACTTGATTAGTATTTTCTAATTATTGAATATTATAAATTTCATCAAATGAAAATCAATTTCTAAATACTCATAATTATGAGTGAGGGGATAAATTCACGCACAGGGTCACCATCTTGTGTAGACGGAGAGGGTGGTGGAGAAGCTTTGGTGAACCTGGAAGACAAGGTACAACTTGATACAACTTAGATAAACTGATGGTCGGAAGTGGCCAAATGAACTCTGATGCTTAAGTCAGTGAACAAGTCGAAAAAAAATATAGAGTAAATAGGTTGGGATCTCTTTTTTTACTTGATACCCTTGGTCTTTATTTATAGTAGTAAGAAGGCGTGTCCCACTAGAACTCAAGCTCTTCGGTGATTGGCTCGACCGTGTCACCATGTCTTAGAAATTTGGGGTTGAATTAGACTAAGACTCTTGGTTCTCGGTCTTTATCGCTAGCCCCTTGTTACTCGGAGTAGCATTTCATTTAGACTCTAGTTCCTTGATTGATCTTTACTTGGTGGGATTCATCTTTAGTTGCCTTGGTTGCCAAGCATGGACAAGAATAGTCCTTATTAGTTGAGTGGCATGGGTAAACCTCCTTATGTTCACTTAGTGGAACCTCGACCGAGTGGTGTGAGGTAGGTCCTTAGTAGGAGAAGGCCATTTTGTTGAGTGGTGTGAAGGAGGCCACTTTGAATCCCCATTTTCCTGATCTTTCTAGGTGGAAATACAAGGGTAAGTCATTGCTTTATTTTTTTAGTTTAATGTCATTTGGTAGGAGGATAAAAAGTAGAAGAAAGAAAAGGAAAAGTGATGGTGGTGGTGGAGTTTTCTAAATTCTGGAAAGATTGTTTCCAAAAAACACACAAAATAACTATAATTTATTTTTTAAAATCTATCCCCAATTTTTGTTCTCAGTTTTCAGAAAACAAAACTAAAAAACAACTGACTAAACAACTTTTCTCCTAGAAATTATTTTTGAAAACAAAAAACAGTATCTGAGAAGTAAACCAAACATGATAATAATTTCTGTTCTCATAGGAAAGAAATCGTCCATCCTTCCATTGTGCATGGTAGGAGTATTTGGGGATAGACTTTTTGTTCCTTGGTATAAATTGAAAAGTGCTTAAAAGTGCACATGCATATTGTGCCATTATATGCTAATGTAAAACAAAGTTGCTCATCACATTTAAATTATGAGAACAATAAAAAATTTATCAAGGTGTCCAAAAATAAATAATATATATCTCAATGAAAATATTAATCTTCCCTTCCCTTTTAGGGGGGAGAGACCGATTTTATGGACGGGGAGAACACCAAACCTTCCGCTTTTCATTTCTTTCATTCTTTCCTTTTCTAACGAAACAAAACATTTTATATATATCTCTTAATTTTCATTCTTATATTTTTCTATCTTTTACTTTTACATTATGTTAATGGACCACTTGTGACCATTTCAATGTCCAGCCCCCACCTACAACCTCAACAACGTCGCTGAAAATGAATATGGACCAAGTGAATGTGAATCTTAAAATATTTTTCAAATTTACACTCAAATCAATGTAAATCAAACCAGAACCGTGGGCCCATTTACGGGTCCAATCACATTGCTTCAAGTTACAAAATAGAATAAATAATTCGGAAATTATGATGGTGTTTAATAAAATTAAAAGCTAAAGTTTAAAAATTGAAAGTTGAAGGCTGAAAACTAAATGTTGAATTTGTTGACTGTTTGATACCCACTAAAATTTAAGTACTAAATTAAATCAAGTTGTTTGATAACTCTATAGAGTTTACATCTGAAAATCAATTAATTTTTAATTTTATCCTTTCACTCTTTACTTTGAAAATATTTATAAAATATGATTTTATATAATAAAAAATTACGATATATCAAATCAATTTCATTTTTAACTTAAATCATAATCAATATTATCATATTGTAGTTTATATATTGAATAACACAATAAGTAACAATAACTAATAAATATTTGAAAAATATTAAAAAAAATAGAACAAATTAAACTTTAATGTGAACAAAAAAATAAAACAAATTAGATTTTAATGTGTGTGGGTGTGGGTGTGGGTGGGCAATGCGTGTGTCTAACTAAGTGTATATGTGTGTAGATTTTAATTTGAACAAATTTGAACAAATTAGATTTTAGTTTGAACAAAAAAATAGAACAAATTGGAACATTTAAATTTTAATGTGTGTGTTGTGTGTGCACAGAAAGTGTGTGTGTGTGTGTGTGTAACTGCATAATTATGTGTGTATGTGTATGCAGAGTGTGTGTGTAATTATATGTGTATGTGTGTGCAGCGTGTATGTGTTTGTGTTGTACAAGACAATGAAAGACAAGGGAAGAAGACTTACTACCAGCATAAAAAAAACAACAAAACAAAAAGGGAACCGATGGAAAGAAGATGACAAAGAGGATAGATAGATCGGTAATTTTGGAGAGAAGACTAATTAGAGTTTATATTATAAATATTGTTAAAGATGTTTTTGTTGAACATTTTTAATTTTCAGAATTAAGTAATAGATCTCCTACTTAATATTATAATTTATTCTTAATGAGTACTTAATATATTAAAATATTCAAATTTTAGTTATCAAAGGAGTTTAATTAATAAATATCGAATACATTCATTTTAATTGCTGAATTTGAATTAACAAACACACCCTATAGCAATGTTTTTAAGTGATAAGTTGTCTAGAAACAACATACACGTTGCATTGCCTTATTGGAACTTTAAAAAAAAGAAAAGAAACAAACAATTCTTTGGAGGATGTTGGAAAAATAGAACAATTCCTTGAGTCCTCAAATTAGGCTCAACTTGAGGGCTTTATTGATACCAATATACTAGAACTGCAACGTCTTCCTTCTTCTGAAGTCTTCCATTAATCTGCATCCCTGGAATGCAGATTGTAAACAAAACAATACACCACCTATCATTTTTCTGTTACAAAAGATGGAACCAGGTTGCTTCAAGAGGCACACTGGAAACCTGGTGGTGGAGTTTTACCACATTCAACGAGAACTTCCAGAGCGATGGGTATAAGAATGTTGATATTAAGAAGCTTGGCCTTAATGGTGGTGCACAGACATAGAGCGGCGTCTAAGTCCACTAGCCCTTGCAGCACCGGACAGCATGTGTCCTTGGCACTGCTCCCAATTCCAATGTGCACTAGGCCACCTAACAAGTCTACACATGCACCTAGTTTAAGAGTGTCGATGGGGCAAGTTTGTTGTGCTGGCGGAGGAGGGCATGGCACTACTTTTGGTGGGGGAGGTGGACATTGCTTTCCAATTGGTTGTGGGGGAGGCTTGGGAACTACAATAGGCGGCATCGGTGGCTTCACAACAGGGGGAGGCACTGGCGTCACAACAGGTGGTGATGGTGGTGGTACTGTCACTACTGGCGGAAGTGGTGGCTTGATTATGGGTGGCTTTGGCACGTACGGAGGCACTACAATGGGTGGTTTGGGCACATAGGGTGGTGGCGTAACGATTGGGGGTTTGGGTATGTAGGGAGGCTTAACAATGGGAGGTTTGGGCACATAGGGAGGCTTGGGTATATAGGGAGGCTTAACAATGGGAGGCTTGGGCACATAGGGAGGCTTGGGTATATAGGGAGGCTTAACAATGGGAGGTTTGGGCTTATAGGGAGGCTTAACGATGGGAGGTTTGGGAGCATAGGGCGGTTTCACAATTGGAGGTTTGGGTACATATGGTGGCTTGACTTTGGGTGGTGGTTTAGGCACAACACTGGGGGGTTGTTTTGGTGGGAATTTGGGAGGATGTTTTGGTGGCATAGGAGGAGTTGGGTATGAGCAGTAGGGACAAGCAAGAGAAGTGGGCAATACCTCCAAGTTCAGGAGGAGGATCAACAGGTAAGCTAAATAATACTTCCCCATTATTAAACTCTAGCAGGGCAGCATAGGAGAGAGAGTTTATGATCCTCGGTGCCCTGTCAATGCACATATATATAGGAGAGTCTGCGGTGAACGGAGAGAGCAGAACCATTCATCAGTAACCCCATCATCTTTACAATTAATTTATAATATTTGTCAGGGTTCATAGACTTGTAGGAATATCGGATATGGCTGTCACTTGTGTAGCTTCCAAAACAAGTGGGGTTGGGTATACCTTTTTAGGCCATAATTTTCAACATTTCAAGGACAAGGGAATCTTAAAAACGCGGTGGAGATCAAGGTGATTTTAACTTGTAGTGTATATTGAATCCGTGATTCAGCTCACGGTTACCAAAAACCACGTTCATAATTTCTATATAGAAGATATTTTCCACTCTGAAGGACAAACCCCACAGCTTTTTCCAGTAAAGAACGGAGCTTTCTCCGGTCATCATCCAGTATCAACTCAATTACCAAATGGTCCTACTTTTTATCCATTATCCTATGGTTATGGTTGTGTCGAAATTATTTTTTCTTTTGTTATTGTTTACATAAGAAGGTAATTTAAACACAAGCTTTAAAATGTAGAATTTAATGCAAGCACTATGCAAACACAAAAATTCGCCTACTAAATGGCAAATCAAATTCAAGCACAATGAATAGAATAAACAAAGTATTACACATAATTTTAGTACCTAGTGCATACAATGATTTTCCATTTAGTCATGAAGATTCTAATTTTGGCAATTTATTTTAGGGCAAAATCCAGTTTATCCCCTCGTAGTTTGTGCCTTGAGCAGATGACCCCCCTATCATTTGAAAATATGCACATCACCCCCCTGTGGTTATGAACTAAACTGTAGCTCTCACTCCGTTAAACGGTGATTGTAAAAATACTATAATACCCTTAAATATATATGTGGTCTACCGAAGAGCCTTGGCCCTAAATGTCGTCTACCTAGCAACAGAGGAAGTCTCTCTCTTCTCTCTCTCTACCAGCCCTTGAACCAGTTAGACTCTGGCACTATTGTGAGACAGTTAGGAAACATAACCCCAATAGCACACTTCTTTTGAAGACTGAACATGGAGCATTGCAACCACCCTTTCAGAGAATGTATTAGAGTTTGGGAGCCATGAAAGAAGGATTTGTTGCTGGTTGTAGACCTATTATAGGTCTTGATGGTTGCCATTTGAAAGGGATATATGGAGGCCAACTTCTTAGTGCAATAGGTAGAGATGGAAATTATAACATGTTCCCAATTGCTTTAGCAGTTGTTGAGATTGAGTGTAAAGATTGTTGGAGTTGGTTTCTAACTGAATTGACAAGAGACTTGGGAAGGCATGAGGATATCCGTTGGGAGTTTATTTATGATAGACAAAAAGGCCTTGTGGAAACATTTGAGCAACTGATGCCTACAACACCCCATAGATACTGTCTCAGACACATGTATAACAATTTCAAGTTTAAGTATAAGGGTGTAGAGTTGAATAAATTTTTCTGGAATGCTGCATCAACTGCCAGTGTGAATGACTTTAAATACTGGATGGCTAAGATAAAGCAGGTTGACAAGAATGCTGCTGAGTGGTTGAAGCGTGTCAACCTAGCTTTGTGGACTAGATCACACTTCTCTACGAGAAGTAAATGTGATATTTTGGTGAACAACTTATCTGAATCGTTTAATTCATATATTCTTGAAGCAAGAGATATGCCCAGAATTAGTATGTTTGAGTGGATTCGGAGGAAACTTGTGAGCAGAATACAAGTAAGGAGGAAGGGTATACAAAATTATACTGGGTTAATATGTCCTCGTATTCAGGAAAAACTGGAACAAAACAAGGTTGATTCGAGGAATTGTTTTCCTACTTGGTGTGGTGAGCTTGAGTTTGAGGTGGACCATTTTGATAGGGTGTTCATAGTGGATCTTAGAGCAAGAACATATACTTGCAAAATGTGGGAGTTGTCTGGGCTACCTTGTTGCCATGCGATAGGTGCCATACAATCAAATAATAAGCTACCAGAGATATATGTGCACGGATGTTACACCAAAACTGTATATATGGAAGCATATGCACACATGATACATTCAGTCTCTGGCATGCATGATTATGTTCATACTGGATTACACCCATTGAAACCCCAATTACTCCAAAAACTACCTAGAAGACCAAAAAAATTGAGGAGAAGGGAGGCAGATGAGCCTAGAAACCCCCATAAGGCTTCTAGGAAAAAACTTAATGTCACATGTGCAAAATGCTTGAAGACTGGTCACAACAGACGATCATGCAAGAACAAGATCCATCCTAAATCAAAGTTATTAAGGGTAAGAGTGATTTTTTAAATATCATTTGTGCATTATTTTTGTTTTTTGAAAAACAAACTAATTATAATTATTTTTTTTTGTAGAAATCCACTGATGATGCAACCTCCACTGATGGTCCAACCTCAACTACTCTTGCCTCCATTGCTCCTGCCTCCAATGCTGCTGCTGCCTCTAGTGCTGATGGTCAAGCCTCCACTGCTCCTGCTGCCAATGTTGCTACCTCCAATGCTATTGCTACCTCAATTGTTGCTGTCTCCAATGCTGCTGCCTCCAATTCTGCTGCTGCCTCTAGTGTTGATGGTCAAACCTCCACTGCTGCTGCCTTAACTGCTCCTGCCGCCAATGTTGTTGTCTCCAATGCTATTGCTGCCTCAACTGCTGCTGCCTCTAGTGCTGATGGTCAAACGTCCACTGCTGCTGTATCCACTGCTGCACCCTCCACTGATGGTCAAGTCTCAACTGCTGCTGCAGCATGCACTGTTGGTCGTAGGAGTGGTACAGTTGGGAGATGTTCTGGGAGTCATGTCGTTAACAAGTATATCCAACTTGTTCAACATGCTAGAAATGTGCAACAAACATGTATATCCAACTTATTGGATAGAATTAGGTCTAAGAAAAGGTCATAATTAAGTTTGAATATTTTTTTTGTCTATGTTATATCAAAAGAGCCTTTTGAAAATATGTGATGTACTCTTTTGATTGTGCACAATCTATGTGCTCTTTTGATTGTATTGAACATGTATGTCCTTTTGGTTATATGGGAAAAAATGGTTGAGTATTTTGCTCCTTTTGGTTATTTTGTGCTCATTTTGCTCCATAGAAGTCCGATATTGTGTCAAATAGACATTCCATTAGATTAAACACTTTTACATTACATTAAACACAAAGTAGTCCTTCAAAACATAAACAACATGTTTTTAGTTCTTGCTTAAGACTAAAACCAATACTGGCAAATAAATTGCCAATACAATAAACATTCTCCTTAGCATAGACTTCATGGCCACTTGATCAGACTTCATGGCCTCCTGATTAACTTCAAGTATCATCACCCTATTGCTTATTTTTGCAATTTCATCATCATTTGGAGTGGCAGACATACCAGTAACTGAAATGGGATAACATCATGCCCAAAATTCACAATTTTTAGTCTCACAAACATAATACAATCTTCCTTTCGACGGTTTCTCAGAATCAACCACTTTGATTATTGTTTTACGCCATAGCCACAAATTTGGGTACTGAACCTCAAATCCATAGGCTCCCCTCCCCTTGAGTTGCTCGAGTATGACATCTAATTATAACAAAACATATTATGAAGTTGTTACATATATTTTAAATAAAAATAATTATAATAAGAAAAGCATAATCTTTATCATAGTAATTTATTAGCCATTATATTACTCAAAAAACATCTATATATAAATTACCTTTTTATGGTAGCTTCCTTCCTCTAGCTCCAACAAAAAGGTAGTACTCCAGCTTTCCGAAGGAAATGAAAAGCTCTTGGGTTTTATCATAGCATTGGAGGGTCATTTTGGACATTTGACTATATTTATTTTGGAGGGAAGCTAATTTCTTCTTTCTTCAATCGCCAAATCAACGAGTCCACTGCAATACCATCTTTTTTGACGAAAAACGTGAGAGCTACAGTTTAGTCCATAACCACAAGGGGGTGATGTGCATATTTCCAAATGATAGGTGGGTCATCTGCTCAAGGCACAAACTACGAGGGAATAAACTGGATTTTGCCCTTTATTTTAATGTTGTGTTGAATTGATCCAATTTTTTTGCCTTGGTCCCCAGATGCCATGTTTGTGTGGGAGTAATCCTTGATTGTAGTAAAAACATCATTGATTTTTGCTTATATCATGGGTATGCAAGAGCTGTAACAAATAAGACGTTTCAAAATTATGTTACGAGCAAAATACTACATAGACTTAAAAAAATAAACTTTATAATTACAATAATTGATTTCACTGTAGATCAAAATATTTATTAAGATCCACTACATATTCAATAGTTGTGATAATCAAGTCTACTTTTTAAGTACATATAACATTACTCTTATGTTTCCCATTTACGTTTACCTTAAAAAATTGACTAATACATTCAAAGTTTATGAGCGCACAACCCACCAAATCCAGCCACAGCTAGTTGACAGATCTTTCCAAGGATGGACTACCATTTTTATGCTTCCTTAATCCATCGAACACAACAACCAAAGAATTCCTACAGTTTGCCCTTAAAAAAACTAGTGTGGAGTGCTTAAAATAGTGAATCTAGACCTTGCCGTCTTTTTCCCCTGGCAATGTAAACAATAGTTTAGACTGACCCCTCTAGACTGCCAAAGAAAATATTCGATATTCGAATTATTTCCTTTGGATTAGTTAAGATTACGAAAATAATCCAATGTTGAGCCGAAACAGCCTCAACTAGTAGGCCATTATTACTCCAGTTTCCATTACCTTACACCTTCTGTTGGATGATTAGGAATCATATACTTACTAAACACAGAAAAATTTTGCAAGCAATCCAAGGACCTCAAATAATCCACAACTAATCATTTGCACTATTTTTTAGGCATTTTGTACAACAATCTGGAGCTTGACCTAGCTCTTTGAAACATCCCGACTATATATTTCATTAACTTCAGAATTATTTCACAAACACACTGATTACACACTAACGCTATGTTTGGTACATGGTATTAGGTCTTAGGAATGGAATGAACATTCCTTGGGAATCCTATTATAATGTTTGGTTTGCAGGATTTAAAATCCATTCACATTCCAAAGGAATACCTAATCCTACAAATTATGGGATTAGGCATTACCAAATTTAACATGGTATTCTTCATTCCCATTCCACTCGGTAATGACCCACCCAATCCATCGGGAAAAAATAAAATAAAACCGATTGGTTTGCTCTCTTGTCTCATCTCGTCTCCTCTCTCTCTCTCTCGCACTTTCATCACATCTGCATCTCTCTCTCACACACTCTCATCACATCTATGGCGTCCTCCTCCTTCCCTCCCTGTCGCTCTCTTCGGTGAAGCAATGCGCCAGATCCACAACCAAGACCAAGACCAGATCAAATTCGACCTTTGCAACAAATCTCAGGTAATTTCTCATTCTCTTTTCACTACTAATATTTATTTTCAAGGTTTCAACACCACCTACGAAACTAATCTCCTGCACCAATACAAATGTAATTGGGTTGGGGTGATTTGGGTGTCGCTTCGAAAGTGTTTGAGAAAATGTTTGATAGAAGCATTTTCATTTTACTCACATAGATTGTGCTCTCAAATGTAGTGTAAGGAACAATTGTACTTATTTTTGTGCTCTCAGATTGCAAATTTCTTTTGAACAATTGTACTGAACTCTTACCACTCCCACTAGTAATTACTAATTTTACTTGGTGGGTTTTGCTCTTGGATAATTGTTGGTGTTTTGATCTATACTTGCTTGATGATTCATTTTGTATGGGGAATTTGATGAGTCATCTATTCATACATGGTGGTAATCTCTGTTATGTATTTTCTTATTTGAATTTATAATTGGTGAAGTTGAAATTTTTATACTTTTTAGTACATGTTTATGACATTGCTCTCGGAAATCACTGGCATAAAGTTTGTCTACTGTGTCTGAAGGGTGTGCCCAGAGTAGGAAATACATGTTTATACTTTTGTAAGGGGTAGAAATCGCTACGGATCTCATCCCTCCACTCGAAGGATTCCAGCTGACTTGGCGTGTGCCAAAGCGACCACCCAGTAACCTTTACCTCTCTTCGCCAATAGGACCCTTTAGCTAAGGCAATCCCACATCGGAAGAGAGTCGTCTTCCCCTCTCGCATATAAGCACTTGCACTCAAAGGAGGAGGTACCCACTAGCCACTTGATCCAAGTCAACTGGAATCCTTCGAGTGGAGAGATGAGATCCATAACGATTTCTACCCCTTACAAAAAGGATCAAGTGCTAGTGGATACTTCCTCCTTTAAGTGCAAGTGCTTATATGCGAGGGAGGAAGACAACTCTCTTCCGATGTGGGATTGTCTTAGCTAAAGGGTCCTATTGGCGAAGAGAGGTAAAGGCTACTGGGTGGTCACTTTGGCACACGCCATGTCAGCTGAAATCCTTAGAGTGGAGGGATGAGATCCATAGCGATTTCTACCCCTTACAGCTTTGTTATTGATTTGAATTAGTTCGTGCTCTGTGAAATTATGTTTGAAATGAATGAATTAACGGTGCAGGATTACAACTACATGAGTTTTGATTCATGAGTTTATTTAGGAAAATAAATGTAGCTTAGATCAAACTTTTAAGCTCATATGCTCAAAATTATCCTTCACCCCGACCTTAATACCAAAAAAAAATATCCTTCAGTGTCGCCAAATAATAAGCCATTTGAAAGGTAACAATATTGACTGTCAATAAGCTGTCTCTATTAAATTTATGCATAAGAAAAGATTCAGTTGCATTGTAAACAACAGAAAAATCATATAAATGGTAGTGTTCTGATACTTTTTACTCTCTTATTTCTTTTTCTTCCAAACTTAAGAAATGATACTTCAACATGATTATGGTATGCAATATTTATTGCCAATCATAGCTAACAATGTCCATGCATATGATTGTTTCTCCCTCTTAAAATTAATCGTCTTGGAATGATCCATATGTGCCCTCTAAAATCCCATCGACCGGCGCCTCTGTTTTTCCTTCCCCGGCTAGTGGCTGAGAAAAGAGCGTAAATTCCTGTAATAAATTTTCTTTTGTGAACCCATATATGTGTTTGTGTGTGTGGTTGAGTGGTGTTTGGTTGTGAAAGGGATAGGGACATGTGTTTTCGAAAATGAAAGGACTTACCCAATATTATTATGATGGTCACATCTCTAAAGTTTCCATAGAGAACTTCGCTTCAAATCAGACAAGTTATTCATGAGTTTTTGCATTTAGTGCAATGGGGCTAGTCAGTTTTGATAAGACAAGTTAACTAGTAAATGCACACTTAATCTTCAAGCATTTAGTCTGCTTATAGGGCTCTCTACCTTGCCCTGTTTATCTGAATACATTTGATTAGAGTTGATAATTTATAATGCTTCAGGTTCTACGTCCCAAATACTATTTTTTTTTCTTTGTAATTTTTGTGACAGCTATGGCTCGTTTAAGTCTAGCAAGAAGGAAAATGATAAAGAAGAAAAAATTGATTGCATTATTTGTGTTGTGGACCAAAATCATGCATTTAGTCAATTATTTTTTCCATATGATGTTTATTGTCATCCTTTACTATATGAGAAAAAAATCATTAAGAGGTCAAAGGTATCACAATGACTTCTTTGCAAGGAGGACTATTGTCTATGACTATGCTTATACGAGTGATGACGCATGTGTTTCTCAACTTAGGATGAATAGACGAGCATTCATTAGGTTATGTTCCATGCTTGAGACACTAGGAAAGTTAAAACATACCAAAAACATGGAGATTGATGAGCAAGTGGAATTGGTTCAAGGTACTTAATCTTGTCTAAATTAATTTTATGTTCACGCATTTGAACCTGTATGGAAATATAATTCCTACTTGATTTTTGAATTTTTAGGATTGTGCTGGAACCTTAGATGGCACATATATAAGTGTTCATGTGCCAACTGAGGACAAGCCTAGGTATCGATCCTGGACAAGAGATATTGCTACTAATGTTTTAGGAGTATGCTCACAAGACATGGGCTTCATTTATGTATTACCTGGTTGCGAAGGGTCTGCAGCAGATGGTAGGGTGCTTAGAGATGCCATGATTAGAAAGAATGGGTTGGTGGTGAATCGTGGTGCCTACTACCTTGTGGATGGGAGATATATCAACGGTGAGGGATTTCTTGTCCCATTTAGAGGTCAAAGGTATCATTTAAAAGAATAGAGAGATGGTCACCAACCTAGAACGCCTAAAGAGTTCTTTAATATGAAGCATTCTTCTGCTATAAATGTAATTGAAAGATGTTTTAGGTTGCTGAAGAAACGTTGGGCTATTTTAAGAAGTCCGTCTTTCTACCGCGTCAAAATACAGAACCGTATAATAATAGCTTGTTGTTTGTTTCACAACTATATCAGGGATCAAATGCCAATAGACCCAATCAAGGCGGAGGTAGATGCAGCAGGTCTCGTGGTGGAAAATGATGCACACGATGATCGTATTACCACGGTTGAAACATCCAACGAGTGGTCAACATTTAAATTGAATTTGACAGACAAGATATTTAATGAGTGGAGAGTAAGTAGACAAAGAGTGTAATTTTTGTGCTTATATTTGAGAAAGATTTTGTTTCTTGAAATTCTACTTTAAATGCTATTGAGATGAAATGAATGAAATTTAAGAATTCTTGTTTTTATTCAATTTGTTTTTGTTTTCGGTATACTGTTGATTTTTTTTGGACTTATTTTTCATTGATTTATTTTTTGCTTCAACCTGCATGTTTGGATAAGATTCTTAGTTGTCTTGATAGTTTTCTTTTTAGCTTTGCACATGTGCTCTATTGAATTCACAAAAAACTATAGTTGTTCATTTGAAATGAATGACAAATTTTGAATATTTTTTGATTTTGATTTTGATTTTGATTTTGATTTCTTTTTGTGAACTTATTTTTGAAGGAATTTGTTTTCTATTTTTTTTTTTATTTATAGGGGTTTAATTTTTTTCAATAGATTCTCATTTTTTCTACTTATAAATTTTTTTACGCAAAACTTTCGAAGGCAATCACAATTATAAAAAAAAATTATTATTAATTATTTTTAGTCACTCTAGATATTTTGGTTAAATTTCATTTCATTCCAATTAAAAAATTGTTTTATCCAAACTTTGGAATGGAATGGGCATTCCATTCCAAGACTTAATCCTAATTAATTGCCAAACTTTGGAATGGTAATGCGCATTCCATTCCATTTCTACATAAATGCATTACTGCGTACCAAATGTAGCGTAAGAAATCAAAAATTAAATCAAATTATAGAGAGATGAATTTACCCATGCTTGCCAGTGGAAAAACAAACCAATAGCTAAATAAAGTATACTTTACCATAGTAATGATCATCGTGAATAAATCAGATCAATGCAGCTATAATGAACAACCTATGAAATTGTCTACAAAGAGGTTTTGATCTCTGTTAGGAAAAACAAAGAATAAGAGAAATGTGCATAGTTCACAGGGAATAAGAGAAGATCTGAAAGCATGTTGTAAAAGTAAAGCTCGGAAGGCAAATTGTAAGTATATGAGGTAAAACAACAATCCAAACCAAATCCATAAATTAAATTCAAAACCTGCAAAACTAACCAAAGCATTTCTGTTTATTTGATGGACTGTTTTAGCATTCCTGCTTTCATTGATGCTTAATAGCAAGAGTACATAAGCACACTATCCCAGGCCAACTAAATTGTGAGAGAGAGAGAGAGGCTCACATGTTCAATATAGAGAAAGCACCGATAGACATATAGGTTATTCTTATGCCTCCACTGGATCAGTATCAGATTCCAACTTAACAAAGCCAGTAGGATCAACAATAGTTGTTTATTAGCTCCAATAAAATGTCCTAAATTTCCAGCTAAGTTATAAGTAAGATATATATCTATATAATAAAGTACAATACAATTCAAATTTCAAAAGATAAACAAAATGACTTTTGCTATTCGTGGTTGAGATATCTTTAAATTTTATTGCCACCACTACTACCACCCCACCACCATCACCTCTTCTACAACAACCACCACCACTGCCCCACAACCTCCACTATCATAACCCCACCACCACCACCATCACTGTTGCCGCCACCTTACCACCACCACCACTATCCACCATCACCTCTACCACACACCCCCATTGCCCCCCAACCACCATCACTATTATCACCTATAGCTATCACCATTACAACCGGTTGTCATCATCCATCACAACTATCACTGTCTCCCACCACCATTACTACTACACACCATCATTACCACCACTCGCACGCCACTATAACCAGTGTTTAAATTTTTTTATTTCTCCTCTATCTTTATAATTTAATTTTAGGTGTGAATGTAAATATATTTATTGTTGACCATTTTTTTTATTACTCTGTTTTTTCAGG